CCCATGTAGAGTCCACCGAAAACCCGACAGATGCCGAGAGTCGCCGTCAAAGTTCTGCACTTAAACGAACTCGTAGAGAGCGGAAGGAAGCTCGAAAAGGCCTAGCCTTGCGGGACGCGGGCATTACAGACAAGACCCGCGCTGCATATTTTGTTGCAGTGAGCTTGCTATTGCCCTTCATCGAGGATGTGCAGAACGAATGCGAATTGGACAGTGCGTGCGCCGAGTGGGTTGAATTGGCCTGGGAAGACGGTGAAAGCCTTTATGTAGTGGGAAATGCCCTCTCTGGCTTGCATTTCTTTGAGCCCCTCACTCGACGTCGAATTCCTTCAGCATGGAAACTTTTCGCAAATTGGAAGAAGTTGAATGGCCCGCAAGGGCCCCTCCACTGACACGTGAAATTGACTTGAGCATGGCATATTATGCTCTGTGTCATGATGACATTGTGTTCGTGAGCCTTCTCTCGTTAGGCTTCTTCACGTTGCTTCGGACTGGCGGGTTGCTGAACCTCAAGGGTCGCGATTTGTTGGTCAACAGCAATCAGTTAGTTGTTTCACTCAAGGATACCAAGACTGGCACGGAACGCCTCTGACGAGAGATGGTCACAGCAGATGAACAGTTCGTCGTCCTTTTAATTTCAACATTGTATGACCTGCTTGTGACACATGCGGCGCTGGACAAGCCTCTTTGGGGCTTTAGTGGCCAGGCGTTCCGCTCCCACTTCAATTCTTACCTTCGCCGCTTCAAGATTGAGCATTTAGGCTTTCAGGGGGGCGCAACGTGGCTAGTGCAGTCAACCGGCAGCATGGAGATTGCATTGTTGAAAGGACGTTGGACAAGTCATCGTGTGGCACGTATGTATATCTCTGATGGTGTTTCTAAGCTCCCCGACCTGCTCCTCCCGGACCGCGCTAAGCAGTTGATTAAAGCTTGGGATCCTTTATGTCGACCTTCACGTCACCAAAGTGCCGGCAGGCGGGACCGTGGATGAGCCTTCTCTTCGCCCTGCATGGGGGCGTTCTTAGATGCAAATAAAAAGAAAAGGAAGATGCCTGCATGGGGTATCTGTCAAGCCTGCCTGCATGGGGCAGAGCAAATGGCCAAGAACGGCCTAAGAGTTGGCCAAGAACGGCTTAAGAGTTTCAGGAACGAATGGTCCAGGAAGGACTTTCTAGTACGGGCTCTTGGGACGCCCTCACCAGTCGCGATCAAAAAGTGCGCTGAGAGACCCTAAAAATCATACCATAGTATTTCAATCCATGCCATCACAAGTCATATTGATGCTGACTCGGATATGGTTATGAGACCCACTGCGCAGATACAACTGATAAAGCTGGAGCCCTTTTTGGCTTTGACACATTCCAGGAGCGGATTGTGTAAGTGCACAGAGGGGAAGGGTGAGAGATGGAGCTATAGAGACGCAGAGGGATGATGTACTGCACAGAAAGTGGAATGGCAGAAGCTGAGGTACATCATGGATCCAAAGAAAGCCAAATGCCGTACCTGGAGCCCGTACTCTGTTGCGGGTTGGCTTCCTGCTGCACCTGATGTCATTCAAGCCTCTCCTCCAAAGATTTACTACACCAACCGACACAATGGAACGCGGAGGGTATCATGCTGACGCGTCCAGTTTTCCATATCCCACTAGCTTGAACTATGAACAATGACAGCGTTTGCTTGAAGTTAATGTGTGTGTGCGCCACCAAGGGTCACTTGTTGGAGATGATGTGGACTGGTGAGTCTGTTATTAACTTTCCTGGAACAGACTACCACATTTTGTGGCGGAAGGCTACTGGATGTTGGTTGCATGAGCTGATCAACGCATTTCCCACGTCCACCAGTTGAGAAATTTATTGGACAATTGAAAGCATTGAAGACATTGTCGTCCAAAAACGTTTGCATCGACATGGGTGCTTTTCCTTTATCCTCAACTCCACAACATGTCTCCTCGATCTTCCAGCCTGCAGTCGCTGCTTGATCCGGCAATGAATTGGAGCTCGTATGTGACTACAATCGACATCGCTGGAGAATTGTTTGGACTCAGCACATTGTTTCTCGGAGTGGAATTCTACAGTCCCAACCTCAGGCGACCTGAGTTCGATACCTTTTTCTTATGGGGGACTCTCTCCCAATTTGCTGTTCTCATGGATTCTCACAATGTTACCAAGGGAATAACACCAACCACTTCAGCAAGCAGAATGGTTTCTCTCCAATTCCCGAGCCTGTCTCGATGAAAAGTGCAATTTGAGTTGTGACTGGCAAAGACCAGCTGAACATTTGTGGTACTGTATTCTTTTGATTCCTCTCCGTGTAGCGCGATGGGAGGTGGCGCCACTGGATGGCAACTTAGAATCTGTTCCTTTCAGTAGACAGCTTAGCTTAAAAAGCGGCTTAGGCATGCGCTCAGTGCAAAACAAGTTGGAAGTCGTCACGTCCTAAAAACCAACATATATAACTTATAACATTACGTAAAACGATTGAACACCTGGTTCGCACAAGGTTCGCCCAAGGAGCGATGTGTTTTCTCAGACAAGTGCATTTTGGACAACTCCTACTTGAAGTGCGCGTTTTGGTAGTTTTGCGTTCCTCTCCACTCCTGGGTGCTGAGGATGCATACATAGATGCTTTGGTTGGTTTCTGCATGTTTTGGCTAGAATTGTTTCCTCAAATAGAGAGCATAGATGACAGCACAGGCCACAAGGTTTTGGAATCCTTTGTCGAAATGATGAAACAGTGTTTGGGCCCCTGCAATTGGGCCCCTTTAGAAGGGAACCCAATTTGCACATAATAATAGCACGTTCCCTTTATCATTTTTTCAAGTGTCCGTTGTTTTGACATTCCACCGCCGATAGCTATGACATGTCTTTTTGGATGATCAATATTGCTATGGGGGCAAAATTGCAACAGCTTATATTATATACCTTAAAGTTTTCAGGCTATGTATGCAGTAGGCTTGGCTTCCAGGCAAAACAGCATGAGTATATAATGTCAAATACTCCCAGCATAGTCATTTGTTGTGGGCTTGTGTATAGTACATTTTCTTAAGGGTACCGAAGATTCAGTCTAAGGAGTCTAAGGAACACCGACAACAGGCCTTTTCCAGAGCAGCATTCTCTCCACAGCTTTGGCGGCACAAGGGCGTTGCCCAACGCATAGTGCAGCCTTGCCGTTTGCAATTGCTGCAAAAGCGCTTCATACCATGACTGTTCGCCGGAGCCTTTGGACATGAATTACGGCTGGTGTGTCACGGAGAAACTGTGTTGAACTGCACATTGTGACCCCTTGAGGCACCCATTTCTCCAAGTTAGTGCTGGGACTGCTGGCAGTGCGCTTCATGGCTGTCGAGTGCCCTTTAGCACGCAAGTTGGCAATTACAAAATCACGGACACTAACAACTTGTACAATCCAATTTGTGGCTGCTGCAGGCAAGGTGCAATCCGGGACTCTGACCTTTGGTGGGCCAACAGGAAATCAAGATAGTCAGTGGAAGTTTCTCGGTGGCTTGTCCCAAACATAGTTCGTACGTAGAGACACACAGACTGTTCTTTTTAAATCAAGGTGTAAACAACGGTGAAGATAATTGATTGTATATCATTCTGCTATATTCTTGCCCTGTACCTGGCCCAAAGCCCAAGGCAAATTTGGCTATGCTACAGCCTTAGGTGAAAGGGACGCTTGTGAATAGTGCAAGGTTAGTGTAGAGGGCCATGGTACATTTGAGTGACATTGGGCGTGATTCAATCATACCTTTCGTTGTTTGAAGTAATCCATGTACTTAAGGCCATCGGCACTGGGCGCTACGAGATCAGGCTCAGGCATGGTGTATACGTGAGATGGAGTGCCGGCATTCTAAGACCGAGCAGTGTTCATGTTTGTTTCGCACTTCTGAGATCATTTGCACATCAGATTGAGAGAGTTTGCGTTATGAAATGCAGACATCCAAGATATTTTGTTGCCCGCTTCGAGGCTTCACAATTCTCTAGACCAAGATCAGGCGGGGCAAAGGCCCTCTTTCAGTCTTGCTTGCAGAACTTATATGGAGATAAATGGAGAGAAGAACACCTGGCCTAGCAAGCCAATTCGATCTCTTTAAATGTGATGCTGCGAGGGTTTGATGTAACATGATATACTGTAACAGTTCTTGTGTATTTGACTTGGTTGGGCCATGTTGGGCCTCTTGACAGTTCATGAAGATTCTGGAGTATCGTGTTGAATCATTCGAGACAAACTGATGTCAGCAAAGAACACCGAGCAGCTGAGGCCGAATGAGCACATGTACTATTGTCCTTAGAGCATCATCACAGTACACGTTTTTTGTGCGCTGGTTTTTGCAAGGGGGTGCTCCGTTGCGTAGGTTCTGCCACGGCCACACCTGGAGATTTTCCTAGACGAGGACTGGCCACAACATGGACGTATCGCAGCTTGCCGCCGAGCTGAGGAGGGGAATCCTGCAAATGCGGCACAAATGAACATTTTTGTATTGCTTCCTGCCTGTTGCTTTTTCATTCATGCAGTGTGCGCACTGTGATGTGGAGCATGCGCCTGTTAACCTTTTGAAAGGACGTTCCGGCCAGGAAGACGCATGGGATGCTGTCACCTGGACAGTTGCTTGCACTGTGGCATTGTGGAGTTCTTGTTGCTTCATGGACTACACTTTTGAATCCGAATCGGCTCTCTCTCTCTCTCTCTCTCTGGCTCTTTCTCTCCCTCGCTCTTTCTCTCCCTCATCCATTCAAACGCACATGAAAGTAGTTGTGTATGCAATGCACAGAACCAATGCTTGCCAGCTTGCCATGAGGTTTGGTATTTGGGGACCCTGGGAGGTTGGAATGCTGTGCCTAAGCTTGAGCTGCAGGTGCCAGTTCTAGTTTTGAATTTCTAGGAGGATGCGAAGACTCGTGCAGTCGCCAGGCTGTTGGGGTGTTCTTGGCTCAAGCATACCCCCGCCTAGGTACCAGACCGTGCGGTCTCACATATGGTATTTTGCAACTTTGGCGGCATCATGGCTTCGGGTGTGCTTGTAGAGGACTTGTAAACTGGTTGTGGCCAAAGCCAAGGTTTTCCAGCCCCACGACTGGATTACTGTAGCAGATTTGCGGCTTAATGCATAATCAGTGTATGTATGTTGTTTATCTATCAGATAGATGGTATATATAAGTATATATATGTGTGAAACGGAAACCAACACCTGAGCCCTGATCCAACTGTCGCTTCCGCCGCTGTTTGACCCCAACTGGCCACAGGGCCCTTGAGCCGCTTTCGAGCGAAAGTCCGCACCCGCTGCGCCATTCCGCAGTTCTTCAGTGGTAGCGGAGCCAGGGTGACGATCCTGGCTCCGGTCGACTTCCTTCCTGCCGGGGGACGCCCCGGCGCTTGAGAAGGCTTCATCCTGATCCTTGCGAAGGCCCTCTTCACCTTCGACGGAAACTTCACCCTACGAGTCGACCGGACTCAGGTTTTCTTCCTTTCTTCAGGTCTACGACCTACCTCATCGCCTTCAAGGTGATCTTCTACCTGACCTACCTCCCTTGGTAGGAGTTTGGGCTGCCAATGGCCCAGCCGCGACCACCGCGGACCTGGACAGGCCGGACTACATCATCGACCCCTCCGGCTACCTCCTCAGCGGCTGCTGCGGCTCCCGCGCCAGCGACTACGCCAGACGCTGGTCATGAACATGAACGACCTTCTGAAGGCCTTCCATTACACGATGTTGGACCTCCTGAACTTCCTGAGCTACCTGATCCTTTCGCGGATGAGGATCCGTGGAAGAGGACTTCAAGAAGAAGTACCCCAAAGGCAACTGGCACGCCTAAGGCGGCAAGTGAAAAAGCTCAGCCCTCAGAACGTCGTCATGTCGACTACCGCATGGACCCTGCACCTGTTTGGGGAGGAGAACTCCCGGAGAAAAACTATAAAGACTACCATCGCAAGCTTCGTTTGTGGATGGTTGAGGCCGAAGCCAGGATTCCCGCCAACCTCATTGGCAAGCGCATCATCGACTCCGTGCCGCTCGGTTCAAAGCTCAGCGCTTTGCTTGGCCACCTGACGGTGGATGAGATCTGTGCGGATGATGGTCACCGCACGATCGTGAAGATCATCGAAGAGGCCCATGAATATCTTCGAGATCAAAGCCTTGAGCAGGCTTTCGATGATGCCATCTTCAAAGGGCGTCGAGACCGAGGCACCAGCATGACCTCCTTCTTGACTGGAAAGAAAGCTGCCTTCGCCGAGCTCAAGAAGCAGGGCTTGGACTTGTTGGAGACGGCAGCCGGCCGTCATTTGCTTGGACATTTGATCTTGAGGCAAGGAGCTTTCACTCAAGATCAAAGGCAGCGATTGAAAGTTGTCACGAACGGCTCCATCGACTACAAGGAGATTGAGATCGCCATCCAAAAGGTCTTTGGTGATAAGCTTGATGACCAAGGAGACCAACACGGTCATGGACATGCACCCCGACGCTGGAGAAGTGCGAAGGCTTTGATGATGAGCCTTGGGAGAATGGAGATGGGTTTGAAACATATGCCATGCCTGGCAGTGACAACTGTGAGGATGATGACCTCTTCGCGGACCTCGTGTGCTTGAATGATTCCTGGGAAGCACAGATGGTGTTTCATCAGGAGTTGCCCATGGTGATGGATGAAACTGAAGCCTTGGACACCATTGGCAACAACATCGAAGAGATCTTCCTCGAGACCCGTGATCGACTTGCCTTCCAGAAGGGCAAAGGCAAAAAGGGCAAAGGCAAAGGTTCAGCCAGAACCTATGGGCAAGGCTTTGGTGGTGGAAAAGGCGGCTACTTGGAGCACCGCCGAATGCTGCAGCAGTCTCGCATGAGCCGAGGCTATGATAGACCATGGCAACAACGGTCTGGAAGCAAGCTTTCCATCGCCGACCTCAAGGCGAAGACTAGGTGTCACCAGTGTCGACAAGTTGGTCACTGGAGCAGAGAATCCCCCAGCGTGGCCGCAGTCCGACGTCGAAAGCCTCAAGTGCAGCTTCGACTATGTCCACTGGCTTTTTCTTGAATCCAATGGCCGTTGAAAATGCTGGCCAGGAGTTTCTCACCAACCGCTCACCTTCTGAACGTGGTGAATATGGTGCGCAGTCATCGTTTTTGAGCTTCTGTTTTGCACTACATAGCACCAAACCTCCTGGTATTGCACTCGTTGACACCGCCGCACAGCATGGTCTTGTTGGAGAAGAAACGTTGAAACAGCATGACATTTTGTTGCAGCAGCACCACCAACTCCGAGTTCAATGGTCACATGAACCTGGTGGTATGGTTCGTGGAGTATGTGGAAGTGAGGAACATACATCACTGGCCTATGTCCCTATTGGCTTGGGTGGCAAATCTGGAATCCTCAAAGTACAAGTTGCGCCAGGTGATATTCCTTTCCTCATTCCCGCATACTTCTTGTCAGACCTCCAAGCGGTTATCGATATGAAGAATTGCCACCATCTTGTACATGGCTTTGGGGGTCACTCAAAAGATGATTCGGTTACCAACTGGACATGTTGCAGTGAGCATTGTTGAGTTTGGACCTAGTTTTACTGTGCCAGCGAATCACCGCTGCTTCCACAGCCAAGCGTGGACTTCCGACACAGCCCATTTGTCGGAGCACGCTCTTCCGCATGCCTTCGAGTTCTCCACCATGGGTCCGGTGGCGACGCTTGCTCTTACGGCTCTATGCCTACGTTGGCTTGGTGGCCAAACAGACCATGATGGAAGTGGCACGCCAACCTCAACTCCGACGAGTTCGAGAAATTCAGAAGCGCCGAGAACAGCTCGAGCAACAAGCCTTCTCGCTTGCACAGCAGGAGCAATCAATGATTGCGGAGGCCGATGCGACGATGTCCAACCCCGGTTTGAAGCTGACTCCTCACCAGGAAGACAGAGTTCGTCCACGAGCTTGCATCCGAGGCCGCGGTCGCTACCTGGTCCCAGAGCTGGAACCCTCTCCGCACTGCACTCATGGGAAGACATCCCATGGAGCGAACAAGCACTGTTCGTACCACCGCTGCGATCAGTGCGGACAGGAGCAGACGATACCGCTAACGCCTCTTCAAGATCTGCAACACTGGAACGACACTCTGGTGTACGTCAAGTGCGCTTTCTTCGATGCAGCAACCAAGAAGCTGGAGACAAAGACCAAGAAAGCGGAAATTGCTCAAGCATCGTCCGGGAGCACATCGGCATTAAATACCGCCTTCGGCAAAGAGTTCCTCCAAGATTATGGCTGCCAAGAGCAAGATGACCGCAGCCAAGTCAAGACCACAGATGAAAGAAGAGACGGAGGAATGGCTGGACTGCAAGACCGAGGAGGACTTCCGAGCGTTCCAGGTGTTCATTGGGGACAACGAGGACGAGACCATGGACACCACGGACTACAAGGCTCTGTCAGTCCGATGCACACTATGTCGACGGGGGACGTGCACACTTCATCACCTGACAACAGAACGGAGCTTCCCGGACCTGATTTGGAAGTGCGACTTCGATCTGTGCACGATTCGTTGGTCCAACCTGGATGCCACTACAAGACCAGCATTGGGAGTGTTGCTATGCCCACAATGCCAGAAGATGCCGATGCACCCCATCGAAGTTCCGATGGACGATTCGGAGAGCAACACAGAAGTCCAGTGCATGGGCGACCAGTGCAACATGGCGATGTACATGTTCGAGATCCCCCTGGTCTACTCCAAGACGAACTTCAACCTTCGACTACTTCAGCCTTCTGGTTGAGCTCTATGGGTGCGCACTGTGACTTCGGGGAGACCTTCCTGAACTTGCTCGAGTCCCTCAAGGTGAACTTCAACTCCACCTATGTAGCCATGCAACATGGTGATCGTGTTCAGGGCATTGCAACTGTCTCGACAAGGCCGACCATTAGCCGACGTGTCATTCTGACACAGTGCGATGGCAAAAGAACTCCAAGTCGCCACAAATCACCCAAACCACCCCTCTTCTGACAAACCTGCCATGGCCATCTCCACCATTTGCAAGGATGGTCAGGTCTGCCCAAAGAGTTTGCCAAGTGGAGTCCACAGTAGCTTGCCTAAGCCAGGCGCATGGATGATTGGATGACTGACACTATCTGATGGACTATATATACTGATGCTATCCAACCCGAAAGGCTATCCAGCCTTGATCTAGAAGTAGAAAAGCAAAATGATTGATTTCACAGGCTAGGTACTTAGGCACACTGGCCAGCAAAAGCTGTGAGTGCTGCGCACTAACATCACTCAGCATGCACCTCATGGAGATGACCCTCAGTGAGTCTATCTCACTGTATGGGGCCCCATCTCCATGGACAGCCCATGGAATTGGCAGTTCCTCTTGCCAGTTGAAGCTTCTCCAGTAAGGGCTATCCAGCAGCCCAAGTTTGTTTTGCTTTGCCCAACATGACTGGAGCGCTTCTCTGCTGGCAGTGAGAGATTCCAGCAATACATTCCTGCAGGAAGAGGGAAAAGTGTGGGTGACACAGTGGGAAAAGTGAGCCTTGTGAACAAAAACTACGTATATAGCCATGCAGTCTAGCCACTGGTCGAGGGTCTCCACCCACTCATGTGGCACAGCTGCAGGTTGCGGCAAGAGCTCACCAGAATGATTTCTGCCCTTCATCTCTGAGGGAACTAGCCTCTGGCTAGGTGCCTTGACCTGGCTGAAATATTTTTTCATGAGGTCTCTGTGAGTGTTCTGTGGGCTGGAACCATGCCCACCAAGGCCTTGCAGTGCATTCTGGCTTTTGATGGCACAGTCAGCCAGCTCCTGGACTTCCACAGCAGTCAAGCGGCCAATGGCAAACTTTTGTATCAGCAGCAGCCACAAAGGGCTATGGCTATCATCTGCCATGGGCTGTCCAGTCCTTCTTCTTTTGGACCGAGCAGCCATGTTGAAAGGGTCCCCACCCCAAGCTTTGGAGCATCCAAAACCACCAACTCACATATCACATATATGGAGAACAGGGGCTCTCCAGCCCAAGAGCATGCCCTTGTATGCATGCATGCATGCATGGGGGCTATCCAGCCCAAACTTTAAGAACATGAGGCTTGGGTGCCATCCTTGTCAAAATGGCCCTGGAGGCTTGAACTAAGAAAATGGCAGCCCCATTGAAGCTGGGGCTGTCCAGCCCTGATGGCAATGAGATGCAAAAATTAGCGCCTGGTGGAGTCCAGCTCCAACACATTTTAAGCATTAACAGGTGGCAGGGGCTGCCCAGCCCAAAAAACAAATGCACACTGGGGCTGTCCAGCCCAAAACACAAACATCTTTTTCATCACCTGCAAACCCGCAGTCGATGGCAGTACCTAGTCTGGCTTCTTCAAAGCCTTTTGCAGGCTGGCCTTGGTTGGCTTTGATGCTTGCAAAGCTTGCAGGGTCTTGCCCATCGAGTCAGACACCACTTCAGTCTTGAACTTGGGCTTCTTCAGCAAGGTGGTCAGGGAGGTGAGGGCATCCTGGAAGGCATCCCAGGCACATTCAGAGCAAACATACACACATGCACACTGGGGCTGTCCAGCCCAAACAAATTTAAACAACAGATGGGCAGGGGCTGTCCAGCCCAAAGGGTATTAAGAACACCACTGGCCTGCAGCTTGGGCATCACTGCCTTCTTCTTGTTGAGCAGCTCTTTGTCATCAAGGCCAGCTTTTTTGGCTTCATATTCTTTGCTGTCCAGCTGGCTGATGTCCTTCTCCAGCTCAGCTTTGAACTTCCACACCTTGTCAAAGATGTCTTGGTGGCTGTCAGCTGCAGTGATTTTAGAAGTTGTTTCCCAAACATCTTCTCTTTTTGGCTTTTTTCAAGGCTTGGGCACCTTGATTCCCAAGGCTTCAGCCAGCTCTTTGTGCACTCCTTCTTCATTTGGGCCTCCTTCATCATCCACAGCTCCCAGCTTCCAGTCATCTTCGACCACATCTCCCCAGTCTTGGTTGAAGAAGCTCTCCCGGCATGCCTTGTCAACCATCCCACGGACTCCAGTGGAAGATTTATGCGCGTGAGAGGTCTTTGTCAGGCCAACCTGCTGCAAAGCCCTGAACTCCGAGTACCTTGTGTCTAGGGGATTCTTTCTGGCCAAGATGGTGCCAGCCTGCACCCTGGCCCACAACTCCTCCTTCCCCCAGTGGTTCAAGGCTTGCACCAGAGTCAACCATTTCTCTTTGACCCCTTTCTCCTCGCTCAGGGTGACCTCCTGCACATATTCCCGATACCTGTCTCCACAGGTTTTGTCACTCATGATCCAGCAGTGCAGCAATTTTCTTTTCTTGGCAAGGCTTCCAGCCTGCCCACCATCATTGCCCTGCACTGCTTCTTGGTAGGTCTTTTCTTCTCCTTCAACCTTTCTTGAAGCCTGGAATTGCTTCCACAGCCTTTGTGTTGCAGCAGGGTCTAATTTGTCCAAGGCCTTTTCAAATTCCTTGGGGCTCATGCCCTTGACCTGCTCACAAAACAGGTTGTGGTCTTTCACAGCTTTCTTGGTGAGCTTCCCAGCCACATTGCCATCATAGCTGGCTCTTCTTCCTCACTTTCCTCTTCCACCCCACTGTGGTCAGACACTTCTGTCTCTGGCTGGGGTTTGGCAGCTGGCCTTTTCAAAATGCTAGCAGCTGGCCTTTGGAATATGGTTTTCACCACTGGCTTTTTCATCTTGGAAGCACTGGGGGCCATCTTGTGCTAGGTGCTTGAACTGCAAATCCTGCAGGCTACAATAAACAAATCAATAGCTGCGCTTCCAAAAACCTTTGGTAACATATAAATTACAAACATGCTTGAAACTCATGGGTGCTCATGTGCGCTCATGTGCGCTCATGGGTGCCCATGTGAGCTCATGTGAGTTTTTTTGATTCTTCAGAATTCTACAAACAATTTGGTGAAAAAACAACATGGGGCTGTCCAGCCCTGAAAGACAAACACCCTGTGCAAAGGGCAAAATTGCAACAACACTTGTGTTCCAATCCTGAGAGAAGACAAGGAATTTGAATACCTGGGGCTGTCCAGCCCTGAGATGAGGCCAGTGAATTCCAACCACTGGGACTGTCCAGTCCTGAACTAGGCCAGTGAATTTGAATAACTGGGGCTGTCCAGCCTTGAGATAAGAGCAGTGAATTGGAATAACTAGGGCTGTCCAGCCCTGAGTGAATCTGAAATAGCTGGGGCTGTCCAGCCCTGAGATAAGGGCAGCAACTGGTGCTGTCCAGCCCTAAAAGGAAACCAGTGAACCATTGACTCCACTAACTGGAGTGGAAAGCCGCAAGACCTTTACCTTTTGCCTTCTTGCAGGCAGTGAGGTGTGTTGTATGGCCTTTTCAGGCCCTGTACTATTGTACAAGGAGTTGTGTGGCCTTTGCAGCCCCTGTGCTTTGGCCAAGGCAGTCCTGCCTCAAAGATCCTTATACCAGACCTTGAGGTGAGGCATTCTTGCCATCAGATCTTCAGCCCAGGCAGTATTGCCTTCAGATGTCATACCGGACCTCCACCGCACCCAGCAAGCTGAACTCATTCAGAACCCTCAAGGCTTTGGCAAAAGACTTGGCCTTCTCCCACCCCCCCCCCCGCGGTTCAACTCCCAGCTGCAGGCGTTTTGGCATTAGCGGAGGTGTTGTTACATGTTGGAAATTGTTGGTGTTTTGTTTGGTATTTTTGATTTTGGGGTGTGCGTTCAAAACCATGATGTCAAAGACATCATGCACTTGAATTTTGGATGATCCTGGGTAGCGGAAGCACACGTAATTATTGGAGAATCAGGATGACACTCATGGGATTTTGCATGCGTTTTTGCAAAACATCCACTGATTTAGTGTTTGTATTTAGGATTCATTGAGGAGCTTTGTCGGAAGCATGGTCAGCTTCGTCGGAAGCATGATCATTTGCTCGTTTTCTTGTGGATGCATCACATAACATTTCGGCTGCGCCTCGTCAGTTGATGAATCTTCATTTCCTGAGAGCAAAGTGTTTGAATTTACTGTCTTCGACATGTGTGGTTTGGCAAAATTGTTGATTGTATCCATACCCACCAA